TTATCTAGAGTTAGGTTAAAAGTGCTTGGATTTGTTCTTTGAAGTAAGTTTGTAATGGCTCGTTATAAATACACTGTTAGAATATGTATACAACGATCAGGTTTCTAATAACCGAACCCTGGGAAAGGCATTATCGATTAACAGTCAAAATACTATTATTAGCTTAAAAGGTACTTAAATGTCAATTGCTTCTATTGAACTGCAGCTTAAAGATTGAAATTTAAAATTTGCTCTAGTCTTAATTTATTTTGGTATATAATTTAAGTTCATTTTCAGTTTTATCAAAAGTCTAAATACAGGATCCGTCAGAAAAATATGTGCACACGTTAATAAAAGAAAATGTTTTGGTGTGTATTAGTACAGAACTTAGTTATATATTAATATAATATATACATATAATAAGTTCGATTAGGTTATAGTGTCAACTGGTTCCTTTTTTATGCTGGAGACATGAAAAATGAGCAATCCCTCACCAAGAATCGAACCCTGGATCTCTCAAATACGCTTTGAGTAGGCTCCCAGTTACACCACGAAGGCATGTGGAAAGGAGAGAGAAAATACCTCATATACTCCCCTTTTAAACAGCGACTGGGGATGAGGGGACACAATCACCAAATCATAGTGATGACAAATTATCGTCACCACTTTTTTTTTTAGTTCGGGCGCCACTGTAAAGACATTAGGTTTTCTAACACTGGAGACGTGAACAATGTAGAGTGCCATCCGGCGGGACTCGATTCTCCAAACCTCCCGAATACGCATCTAGTTACACCACGAAAGCATGCAGAAAAACGGGAGAAAATACTTTATAAGGTTTAATACAACCTTCTTGCAAATGTACCTGTCAGTTACTTAGAATGCTGAAACTGATAGAGTGGTGAACATTATGCGACCAGACACACAGCACAACGGCGACCAGTTGCTTTAGCAACACTGGTCAGGCTGTCCATGGGAACTGCTGAATTTCTGGACTAATAACCACCAGTCTAACCGATTTCCTGTGCTACACGGCGTCCTTAAATGTCCCATAGAGCCACTGAATTTATATAAGCGACTCGCCGGATAGTGGAAATACGTTATAAGGAATCATTACATTTTCTCGCGCATACCGTTCTATTGTAATTGATTATCACATCCAGCTATCAGTAGATAGGTCTGTGATTCGAATCAAGGTTAAGTCACAGTTGACTTTTCTGTTTTCTTCTCCAAAAACGTAATGATCTCTTGAACAATGAGTTGGTATTTTTTTTTTCTCTTTTCGTGTCCTCAACAGCAGCTGCACTATTGACTCATTGTGCCAAATCATAAGGGGCAGTCTGCTCTCAGAAGAACTGTTTAGTGGAAAAATAGAGTTGTATAATGCAATCTTGAAAATACGTGTCACCAGTTATGGGAATTTAGGCTTGCGTTCTGAAATTATAAACAGAATATAATGTGTTATAGGAAGCACATTTTAATATTAATTTAGTGTTTTAAACTTATGCTTTAAACACAAGAAAATGACTTTTTTCCTGCTTATTTGCACAAATAAGAAATAATTCTCTTAACTTCACTTTGATATTAAATACATAAGGTGGTTATCCATTCAAATTATTTCTATGAATCTTCTTATTCTTTTCAACTATCAACATTACGATATTTAATTTATCTTACCAGTAAGTACTAACATTCTCAATTTCATATAGGATATTTTCTTTCCAAAGTATTGCATTCAAAATGCTTTTTTTGTTGTGGGGAAGCGAGTATTCTTTTGCAACAATATAATCAAGTTAAAAAATGATAATTAGATTCACATGTGATTAGTTATCTAATAATAATTATTATTATAATTATATTATATTATTAATCTTATATGGTGTCTAAAATGGTTTCTAGCTAATTGTTTTGCAGAATGTCCAAATATTTAGATTTCATTATAGGAAAAGGAGAAAAAAATAAAACGAAAATTCAGTATAGAGAGTGACAAAAATTTACTTTTTTTTAACACCCTAAAATATGTTAAAAAGATTTCATTTAGATATGTAATTTCCTGCGCTTTCCAGCAAATTCTCACATTTTCAAAAAAGGCATTATTAATTCTATTAATTAAAGAATATTTGAAAACAGTTCCCCCTCCCGGATTCGCTATACTTAAATGCATACAGATAAATGCATAATAAAACTTATATGTTCTAGTTGCCTGCTTTATTTTATACACACCATATTTACTCGCGCATTTTGTCCTTAGCATTTCATTACCATATTTTGAAATTGCTTAATCATTCACGTAATTTTCAACATCTTCAAGGCGTTTAGAAAGCGAACTCCTGTAAATTTTAAAATGGTCGTTATTTTTATCTTACTAATTAGTTTTCTCATGATTTTTGGCTGCGCGGTCTATGACTGATGAGGCAATAGTAGTAAAGTGCTTCAAGAAACAGGGATATCTAATGCTTTTGATGGTCTTGAAGATCATTGCACGAGACAAGATGGAATGAATGGTGACAAAGGCGATGATCATGCTGATGATGTTGACGACTTGCTAGCAATAGCAGATGATACAGGCATAAATTCCGGCTGCCTTAAATGATCTGAGGCCTAGGGAGTAACAGTGGATTACAAAAAGTATTTCGAGATACAGAGGCGAGATTTAGGAAACGGCGAAGTAGAAATGAAGATATCTTATTAAATATTGCAACGTTAAAATTGCTATGCATACTTACTGGAATGTAGTAAATCTAAATTTAATCGGTAAATCTAAATTATTCCATTTGCACTGGTTTCGACAAGCGATACGGTGTTTATCAGTTTGTTTCCGTTCTTGTATAAAATTTTAAACTGAGAACCACTGAGTCAATTTATTAGAAAGTTGAATATATATAAGATTGCTTGGACCTTAATTCTTTCGTGATGGTTAGAAGCCAAAATCTGGTGCTCTCAAACACCTGAAAAGCCCATGTGTACGAATTTTTGTTGCATTGGATTTCAAACCCCCATACCAAATAGAATGCTATAGCTTTAATAGTAATCTACTTAAAACTTAAAGCGATTACTTCTCTTTTGGGGATCTTTGTGCGGTTTCATCCATTGTACGCAGTTTCCCCGTAGGATCTGTTTACTGGCATCAATAGCTAATCGTTGATGCTAAAAAGAAGAGAGAAGACAGAACAACTTTTAGTAGCTTCCAAATAACGATTGGCATGCCATTTAATAACATTTGAAACCGATGAGCTATGCACTAAGTTGGTGAGTGAAAACACCAGGTAGAAACTGGACGCAGGCGATCGGGAGACTTGCTGATGTCTGAATGCTTGGGCGTTTCGGGCGAGAATTAAATAAGCAATCTTATGAAATTCATCGGTAGTTTATCCATAATTTCTTTATTTGTTATCTTCTTAATGTAATTACATACTTCGGACATTAAATCATAAATTTTCCCTCTCGATTTTCGTACGAAAAAATTAGTTAACAAATGGTGAATTATAAGTGAGTAAATAGAGATTTATCTCCAGTAAGAATTTTGAAAGGAATAAACTATAGATTTCCTCTTTGCAGTACGATTTCAAAATCAAACCAGTACCCGTTAGGCACATTTTTTTTTCTTCAAGAGATTCGTTTGGTATTTTGAAACAGAAAATCTTGCACATCAGTGTGACTTTGCTGGGAACGTAATCTGACTCTTCCAAAGACTCTTGTTGAAATACTGATCACTACACCATAAGAACACATGAGAAGAATCTTGCAATAAGAATCCTATAACTTCAGAGATTAATCGATGAGAGATGATTCCTATAATGTACTGGTACACAATATATTGTGCAAAAGAACTAAGATTAGAAGCATGACAAAAAATATTCAGTACTTTTAAACAAAATCATTTAAATGTGAAATGCGATGCCCATTCTCCGCTCAGTTTCCTTTCTCGGCAATTTTAAGATATTAAAAATGCTCACTGTAATTCATCATAATTAATTCACTCTAATTTGTATTTCTGTGATATATCGTAGCATCAGCACATAGACAGTTATGTAGGAAATACTCAGTTATCAATAATTCAGGATATCTTAAAATACCATGTGTTACAAAGTTATTATAAACCAAAGTGGAAAATCGATGAGGAATTATTCATATAATTTCAGATATTTAAAAGCTTCTTCCCATACTAAATTTAGAATTTCTTCCAATTTTTCGTAAGACATATAAATTTAAGTTCTTCCATTTTCTAGTTCTTCATTATATTTTTGTATGTACGGTTTACACGATATTTACTTATTCTTCAAATGATGACATTTATAAAGGACAGAAAGAAAATATAAACAAAATGCGACATATTGAATTAGTAAATTCGAAAAATTATTTTAAAAAAGTGCTATTGCATTCTGCATTACAGATTTACTTCAGAAAAATTAGATCTAGTTGCTCTTGAAATATTCATATTTTTATGAACTGAAATTTGAAATCCGATCGACATATTATTTATTAAATTTTAAAGCAAATGTACCAAAATTGGCTCTTAAATTCTATCTCACAAATTTTCTTCATAATTAATAACATAAAAATATCTTAAAATTATTGATTTGAGTTTTGGTTGAAAATTGAAAGTGAATCCAACAGGCTGCAAAGCATCTATTTTTAAATTATAAAGTAAATACATATGAAATTGCTACTGCTCGTTTTCATTAAATGCCATATTTATCTCATCTAAAGCTTTATTTAACTTAAATTTTATGCAAATTAAATTTAAAATGTACTTTAAACGTGGTAAATTTCTAGCATCTTAAAATTATTTAAGAAATATGTTATCAGTAATAATAATAATGCAAATGAAAGCCAATGACATAACGATTAGCGTAGACAGTTAACAAAAGTTAGTGGTTTTTTTAAATATTTTATTTCTATTACTAAATAAATTTTAATAGTAGAATAAGTTTATCAGTTATTTGTTATTGTTATATTCATAATTTATATTTAAGCGAAATAATTTTATGCCTATTTATTATCCGGTGAAAATTCCTACTCACCTAAAGAGTGCTGTGTTAAAACGGAAACCAAAATGATTTTCCATAACAGGATAGAAGACGAACACCAGCTCATTTCTTTTCCGTTGCGTTTTCCTTCTTTGTGGATTCCCAACGGTAGAACCAAAGGTACTTTGCAACCTAGGAAAACTAAGGATGCGCGGGTTTTGTGGCCAGGACAAGAACTTCGGTTCTTTTATATTAGTCACATGGATGATGGCAATGTCCAGCGTTTGCGTAACTCCTTCCGTGACGTCACTATTTTCGTCCAATCAGAGGACGGTTTCGCACTTTCGGGGATTAGCCTAAAAGCACTGCCGCGAATCAAGATTGGCTGTAACTCAAAAACGTGGGACGATTTCAGAAAGTTGTGGGGGTTTTCGCATTTTCCCTGAATTAAAATGTATGGCTTACACTTTACTAGAGGCTCAAGATTTGTTTTTATTTAGGACCAGCGCTGCTAAGGCATTATGAGGTAATGAAGCAACGAGCACAGTACGTGTCTTAATGGAGCCCTCTATCAATCGCTGCTCTAAAATAATTTTTTTTTTCTTTTTATTAAAACCCTTAAGTGATTATTCTACATTAAGCTGTCCCTGAAACTCTTCTCGAAAACAAAAACAAAATCGTGTCTGGAACTTCCGAAATATTTTCACTATATTCTGCATAAATTATTATTATAATAATTTGGCAGACTAATATTGTTATCAGTTTTATGTTTTATATGAAATTTAGCTTTATGCAATACACGACGATTTCCACCTTTTGCATGTATTTTTGTGGATAAAAATTAACTTAAGGTAAGTTTTATATTTTTTCAAATAAATACATGTCCGAATAAATCATGTATATTTTGAAATAAGTACTATTTACGTAATTAATAATATTATACAATGTTATTAAATTTAAAACAAACGAATCTGTTGCAAACAGTTAATCTAATTCGAGTTAATCTCCTTAATTTTCATGGTTTAACCTTGAAACCGTCGGGAAGATACTGGCATTCACCTGCAGAAAAAAAAAAAAAAAAAAATTATTCCGATTATATTAAAAAAGGGAAAAGTATGCGAGTTTGAAATTTACCGAATTTTATGATAATATTCTAAGCCATTTAAATATTCTGAATCACTCTAATATCCTAAAACATCTCTATCAATTTACTTATTTTATTCTGATAATTTAAATCAATTTTAATTTATTAATGACAAAGTGTTCGAATCAGTTCTACCAACAGGTGTAAGTCTAAGTGTGATAAGATCTTCTTTACTGCGCTGCAGAGTGCTGCTCTCAAAAGTGATAGGTTAAAGTTTATTATTTACTTTACTATCATTAATATATCCATGATAATAAAGAGGTGTGGAAAACACTGATTATTAGAGAAATTTTTAAAATTACTTTATCAACTTTTGCACAATACTAGTCGTATTATGAAACATTGGCCACAAAGGAGAACTTTATTTCCAGGAGATACCACAGATTTCATCTTCTCACCTTCTTCAGTTCACTGAAGCAATCATTAAATTGTAAATTTTTCAATTAGTATGATGATTAGCGAAGACTGCTTTCTTCGATTAGAAATTAGATATAAGGATGAGTCTTTCCAAAATGAGAAAACTTGAAATTCTTCGACCCGAAAGTTCTTTTGAGAAGCTGGTAATAGGCAGACAGAAACCAATTTCATTTTTCAGAGTATTTTAAATCCAAATTGCACTCTATCTGAAAAGTCATAGATCTACACCAATCCTGATCGAGTATACTCGAAGAAAGGGTAAAGTAATATACTACTTTGAATGCGAAATGTCACAACTACAGGGATTGCAACTGACCAAGATTTCCTCTCTCTTAATGAAGGAAAGAAGGAGGGCATATATATATATCCAGCTGACTGTCTTACAGATCTCAAATATTTACTGCCCTTCTTCTTCAGGTTAAAAATTTTGCCCCTAAAACTGGTCTCAGTTCGCAGTAAATTTTTTCCTCCTTTCATCAGCTGTTAAAACTTATCTAGAAGTTCAGACCAAATCAACTTGAACCGTCTACTTGTCAACACTTAAGGATGTTGAACAGTATCACTTTACTCAGCAGAAAAAAATTCTTTGTTTGGTATTCTGAAAAGAAGTTATCTGAAAAATTAATAAAGACGATCCCCTAAAGGTACGTCTTAAAACGAGTAATACTTTTCATTGCAATGCCAGCTAAAGGGGTGGGAAGTGCATTCATATTTACCAACTTTTTAAGTGAATTTCGCTCTGTGTGATTCCAATACAATTCCGTTCTGAAGTGAGCGTGACCAATTAGGCCATAAATCTTTTCTTTTCAAGTTTCAGAATTCTGGGGATTAGAAAATATGAAATGACGAGTCTCTCTCGGGGGTAACAATCCAGGCTGTATTTAACTACGACAAGTGTGTCTCGTTGCTGACACTTGCTCGTTTCTGACATTTTTCAAATCGATGACTCTCTCTCGGAGGGAACGGTGAAGGTTATATATATATATATAATATGTCCTAACAGTATGATGCAAACATTGCTGCTCAGACCTAGAATGGCAAGTTCACTACCTGGTTCAACTGCAATTAATCGCAATGCCATCGATAGCCTGATCATCAGCGAAAACAGTAAGACTGAAACATTAAAAAAGAAATATATTTTAACGTAGGAGCTTATAAAATGATAATTTCCGAATATATCTAAGAGAAATTATGATTCTACAGATTTAACTCATCTTCAGTTAAATCAAAGCTCAAGTTACAAAGTGTGAATGGTTATTAGAAACTATATATTTCAAACAGTTCGCTTTTAAGCGAACTGTTTGTAATGAACTGTTGGAAATGTAGTAAGGTAAATGTGTACAGTTTATGTTAATTAATTCATTTTATTATTATTTGGATCTATACTATAACTTATGTTTTTCGTTAGCTCTCACCAGGATGCAAATGAATTACGATTGTTTAAGGCGAAGTTATTGAAGCTTTTAGAGCTTTTGGCTTGCAGTTCTACTTTTCTCTTCCCCCCCCCAGCTTTGCTACGTTAGTTGTTTAGCATTAGCCGCTTTTGCTAACCCAAGTTAAATCGCACTTTTAAAATCTGAACTAACGTTTAATTACGCCTAGTATATTGTAATTTCCGGCTACGACTCCATTTAAATTTGAGAATTCCATTTCCTTTTATCCAATACCTGCAAATGCAGAGATTTAATATGAAAGCACAATCTGTCCGGTTGTTAAGTTCAAGCTTTAATTAGATAGTTATTTGAAACCTTCTTAGGACACTGCCATACTTTCTCAGAGGAGTGATATCTCCCTTGAGAATTAAACTGGTGCACACAATTAAACTAGGATTTAAAGCAGGGTTTCTTAAACTGTGAGTCGCCAAAAATTTTATCAGTTTTGATATTTCTTTAACGCATTATAATAATTTTACAATTAATAAATATTCAATGTGTCTGAAAGTAGATAAAGGTAAGACAATACAGACAAAGAAAAAAAAAAAAAAAAAAACGAAAACGTTTCGAAGCATTCTTTTTATAATATAAACGTTCATTTTCCTTGCTTTGCACGTGATGCTCTCATATCGTCTGTTATTTATTTAAAATTTTCAGATTGTTCTATGTCTTAAAATTAGTAATTAAAGTTCATGACATAAGGCTGTAATAGTATATTACAGTGCAAGTGAAAACATTAACAGTTTTCCTCACGCGCGTGTCGGATTTTTGCAATACTAATGGAATCCCACAAACCTGGCACACAGGACAACCCTGCAAATGAAAGTTGTTGTATCGAGTGGATTAAGAAAAGTTTTTTTTTTTTAATCTTTCCAAGTGAAAGCAATGACATTTAATCATCATATCTTTCTGTCTACGTCTCATTAGTTTTTCATTTTAAAAGTCTTGCAAATTTCAGCTATGCCAGCTTGAAAGTTAAATTAGCAACGACACTTTGTTACAGTTTACGTTTAACACGTTGACGCCAGCTCGGATATCGTGGGCCGCGCGTGGTCTGGCTTGCCGATAGGACCCACGGTGGCCAGTCGCATGAATTGGGAAATACCGTAATTCGTTTTTATGGCCATAAACCCGGTCGACGGGCATATGTCAATGTCGTACTAGGAAAAAGAAATAGTCGTGCGTTTTTCGTAAATGATGTTGAGTGCGAACCTACGACTGACGATTTCCAGGCTGGCAGACACTCGAGGCCCCAATAGTATTTGGTTTCCTGGGCCGCCGATAAAAGATATATATTGCCGGGCTAAGTGGCTAAGCACTGTCGCGTGGTTTTCCAGAGATCAGTTTGTTTTTCCTTTGGAAATTCGCGGGTCTCGGAGTGGGGCGAACATTGACCCACCTCTGGATATTCGGCGGGCCAATTATAAGTACAGGACCTCCCAAGCATAGTGGAGAAAATCTGTGACTCTTTGGGAAATGAATACGTCCCAGTCGACACTTTTTGAATATATAGTGCGTGACCTAGTAATGAGAGACCATTATCGAACATTTAGACATGTGATTTTACTAAGTTTAGAGTTTACGGAAAGACAAAAAGAGTACTGTTAGTGTGCAAGTATTCTGTGTGAAGTGCCTGTGAGGTACGAGGTCAGTAGAGTTCTGACTTAACGAATTATCTGAGCACACATTTCTTCCGGTAAGTGTAACGGAAGTAAAAAGTTTCTTTCCTTCTAAAAAAGCGGTTAGCATTTTTCATTTTTAATTTTTGCCCATCTAAATATTAGATACAATGGATATGGAATTCAGTGATTCGTCTGATGAATCCGTATGTTGGTCCCCTGTGCATGTTAACCCCTTCGAAATCTCACAATTGCGCCATTATTCTTAGAAAAGATGATAAATTAAAACCGGATACCGTTTTTTCTTACAATAGTGCGAAAAAGGGAGTTGATACATCTGACCAAATGTGTTCCTATTATAAATGTTTACTTAAAACAGTAAAATGGTATCGAAAAGTTGTCATGAAGCTAATATGCGGGACCTCTTTAGTAAATGTGTGGTACATCCACAAAATGTGGGGAACCAAGCGTTATCAAATTTTAAAATTTAGAGAAAAAATTATTGATTATTTATTAAAGAGTGTTGAGAATCCCCTTAGTGAACAATTAATAGTAAGTAGAGGGAAAAAAACATTTTTTAAGTTCACACCAAGGTTCCGCGAGGAAGATG